AACATTGGTCTCATGCAAAGACAAACAACTTACCCTCTGTACTAGCTCTCTGATCCTACCTGCTCTGTGTTTGTTCTTTTTTGTTTTTTTTGTTTGTTAGTTTCTTGGGGGTTTTCTGAAGCAACTTTAGCTACAAATTTATTTTTTTAATTGAGATTATGTGATTTACAATACTGTTAGTGATGGTTTCTCATGCACATAATCCCATCACCACACATCCATCAATATATCTTTGAATTTTAATGCCACTTGGATAGACAGGGATATTAGTCTCTGCATTCCAAGTTAGTGTTAGATTAAATTAGAATAATTAATGCACCTGAAGGTACTTAAACACAATATAAAAATAATATGTCTTTAAAATATACTAACTTAAAAATATTTTGTGGATTTGACTTGACGATTTACTTTATACCTGAAAAGACTTAATGAATTCCTCCATTTGATCTGCATAAATGCATGTTGTATTCATGAAACAGAGCATGTCTTCCAGACATACATGTGGAGTATAACTAAGATTTCTATTTTATGATGGGATATGTTTCTGCTATGTTTATGTTATTCCTTTATCTTGTTGATGTGTATATATTGTTATGAATGATATAAATATGCACATAATATATATTTAGATGTACAATATTTTATGTGAGCTGACAAGTCTCACATTTTACATTTTGCTCACAGAGGAAATTCATTATAGAGTTGGCGTACAAATACAAATTATACATATATATATTCAAAACTTATACTCTCTGTGGAGTATGTAGAAAATAGCTAATCAGAATTCAAGGACTTAGGCCTTGCATTCAGCCAACCCTGGCTTGGTACTTAATAGAACGTAGTTTCCAGAGAATCACCAGGTCTTATCTGGAGATCCCTAAACAACACAGTGCCCCAAGTAATCCATGGAACCACAGAGACCGTGAAGCACTACATCCTTAAGCCTTCATATTGAAATCCCCAGGCTGACTACAGAGAATTGCTATGTGCGGGCCCTGCTGAAGGGACACCCTCCCTTAAATGCACTCAAGATCTACTGCAAATATTATTTTTATTAACTTCTAGTCAACATCTAATATTACTAGTAAGACATTATACACATAGAAAATCTCCCTAGGCATTTCTTAATCTTTCTGAATTATAGACATTTATATAGTTTCCAAATTAAATATCTAAGATAAAAATAGGCAAAGGGCTAAAGAGATATTACAGTAGGTAAGACCCTTGCTCTCTGAAGACCTGAGTTTGATCCCCAGCGCTCCATATGTTTCCCCAAAATGTGCCAAGAGCCAGGCAAGCAATATTCTTGAACTCAGAACCAGAAATAGGCCCTGAGAACCACTAGGTTTAGCCACAAATCAGAATATGTGGAAGGTAGCAAATAAGAGGATAGTTGTTCAATGTCATTAAATAATCTATTAGTGGCTGGAGAGACTATACAGGGGGTAGGGAGCATGCCTCGCCCGGCATCCCATATGGTCCCCAGAGCCCACTGGAAGTGAGTCCTGAGCACACCAAATATGACACCAAAACCATAAAGTAAATAAATAATCAAATTTTAAGTATATCCTATTTATTATATATGGATAAAATTATAATATAAATTTATCATTAGTCATGTATAAATATTTATGTATCTTATACACTGAATAAATTCCTCTGTTTTGGTCTGTTTTTTTTAAATTTTATTGAATCACTGTGTGATAGTCACAAGCTTTCATTTTTAGGTTACAATCACACAATGATCAAACACCCATCCCTCCACCAGTGCACATTCCCCACCACCAATATCCACGGTATACTCCCCCTTTCCCACCCTCCCCCTGCCTCCATGGCAGACACGATTCCCCATAATCTCTCTCTACTTTGGGGCATTATGGTTTGCAATACAGACACTGAGAGGTTATCAAGTTTGGTCCCTTATCCACTTTCTGCACTCATCTTCTATCCCAACTGATTCCTCCAGCCATCTTTTTCTTAGTGATCCCTTCTCTGTTTCAGCTGCCTTCTCCCCTTTGCTCATGAGGCAGGCTCCCAGCTATGGAGCAATCTATTTGTCCAGTGTATCTACTGTCCTTAGGAGTCAGCCTCATGTTATGTTGTTTTATATTCCAGAAATGAGTGCGGTCCCTCTCTTTCTGACTCATTTCACTTCGCATGATTTTCTCCATGCCTATCCATTTATAATCAAAGTTCATGACTTCATCTCTCCTAACAGTGGCATAGTATTTCATTGTGCAGATGTACCAAAGTTTCTTTAACCAGTCATCTGTCCTAGGGCACTTGGGTTGTTTCCAGATACACTGAATAAATTCTTATACCAAGAATAAAACTGAGTATCTTGATTTCAGCCTTATTCAAGTTGGTAAAGGCAATCACTTATTCTAAAAAAAAAAAGAACTGGACTATTTACTATATAGGAAATACTGTCCTATGTAATGTGAGAAGAATAGCATCTCACATTATAATGGAAATAAATATAAAAAATTATTAGGTGAAATACATCTTGACAGATTGTGATGATTCCAACAGATAAAAAGAAAGGAAAATAAATATAATGTGTCTGACTTTTACTTTCAGTTTGGTCTGGGAAAGCCTTTCAAATACAGTGGCATATGTGTGTAATTAGAATAGAAATTGGTGAAAATGAACTATCAACATTCCTGCGATCCAAATAATGACAGAGATAAATAAAGGCTAAAATAAGATCAATATTCAAGATCTGAAGTACAAATTTATAGGTCCCAGTAATCTGGTGAGGCATTTCTTATAACAGTCTGAGAAAAAAAATTTTTTTGGTAGGAATCTGCACATCTCAAGGCTCTTTACATTCCTGTCAAATGTACCCCTACACACACACACACACACACACACACACACACACACAAACACACTCACAAAGATACACCTAAGTTTATATCTTTTTCTAAAAAAATCATTAACAAACATTTCTAATTATATAGAAGCTAGAGATAAAAAAGGCGACTGATCACTCTTAGTGAATATTAGTGTTCAAAAATTGGTTTATTTTACACTACATTTTCCTTTTTAAAAAGGTTTATTCTACATCCAAGTAATGCACAAAAGTAATTTATCTGTAACATTAAAATGTAACTCAAAACAATTTCCTCAGAAATGCTTATAATGCATAAAAACCTGCGCCATATTTTGTAGGGGAACAAGTTAAAAACACAGTTACCAATCACACATAACATTTTTCTACCGTCACTTAAATTAAGCAGTATCTATTATGTTAATCCATCAGAAATTAAAGGATAAAAATAGCAAAGTTTCTGACTTCAAGATGCATAGCTTAAGGGAGATAACACAGAATCATTGACTAAGAATGTTATGGTATGAGTGAATACGCTATATTAATAATGTGTTCTGAAATGATTCATAAATTACATATTTCCAAATATTGGACTTGTATAAAACTTTTATTAGCCCATGAGATAAAGAATGCAATTGAAAATTAAAAGACAGCTCAACAAAGATGATTCCCCAATTGCATTCATATAAGCTGGAATGTACAGAAATATTTACTTTGACATGTAGTTAAATTTTATTCTGAATTTTGACACTGACATGTATTTTATATTTAAGTAATTAATTTTTTTTCTGTCATTAAATCTATTAGTTATATTACTCTTACCAATTTATATAATTAATGAATGTATGCATCCAGAAAAAATTCCTTACAATTTATAATAAGGTAAAAAAGGTAAAGGCCCTCCCGTTGATCGTCGATTTGCTCCAGCGGGCCCAGTAACGTCTCCATTGGAGACTTTGTTGTTACTGTGTCTGGCATATCGAATACACTCGGTAGCTTGCCCGGCTCTCTGAGAGGGGCGGAGGAACCGAACTCGGGTCGGCCATGTTGGCCGCGTGCAAGGCAAACGCCCTACCCGCTGTGCTATCACATTCATTTTTAATGAATGCCACTTCCATGAACATACTAGAACACTATCACAGCGGGTAGGGCATTCGCCTTACAAGCGGCCAACATGGCCGACCCGAGTTTGATTCCTCCGCCCCTCTCGGAGAGCCGGGCAAGCTACCGAGAGTATTCGATATGCCAGACACAGTAACAACAAAGTCTCCAATGGAGACGTTACTGGGCCCGCTCGAGCAGTAAAAACCATTTTATCAAAATACTAAACAAATTCAACAAAGTTGAAATGCAATGTAGATGTCAAAAGCAGTATTTAATATAGTTAGTAAAGAAATACATTTGTATTCATTTATTTAAAATGTTTTCTTAAAAATGAGTAGCATAAGAAATTTACAAATGTCTTTCATCCTCTGATGGCAAGTTATAATTTCCTAACTTCCATGTAAATCAGAATATATTATAAAATTTATTTTAGACAACAAAAGTTGCTGAACATATTATTAATATGTCATGGTATTTTTAAGGTAATTTTAATTTACTTTAACATAACATATGACTTACATCTAAATATCTATTTAATACTCTTAAATATATAACCTAAACAATTGATTTAGTATATTTCAATACTAAACAACCCAAATTTTGATTCATGATTAAATTAAAATGTCCAATAAAAATAACTATTCGTTAAAGTTAATCTTCTGATAATCAGTGTGTCTTTAGCTAAATATTGCATTTTGAATAACATTATGGCAAATTCAAGAATTTAAATATTTCACATAAAATTTCAAATTAAAAATTAATATGGAAATAATAGAAACTCTGAAAAATTTGATTTTAACATGTTTGTTTTTATTCATTGAATTGCTCTCACTCATGTAAACTTAAAGACATATTTTCTGAAAATAAACCACATCTACTCTGGCTCAAGAATAAATTCCCTAAATTATAATTTCTATAATTATATTTTATGCTTTAAAATTTACATTATTAAAATTAAATTTCATACTATAAGCATATTTTTGAAATCATATCTATAAGTATCTATAAACCATATCTAATAGCTAGTTTATAACTGTGAGAAAATTTAGCATGGAGACTGTACCTTGTGTCGCAGTCTTATTACAGGCTGAAAGGATTTAAGGCCATATCCTATTTCTTTGTTTGGCCTTCCTTCTGACTCCAGAAAAATGAATCCAAGAACCAAAACAGCTGACCAGCACTTAAACATCCTTTTGGCTTTTCACCTATAAAAATTAATATGGCAAGTAATCAAAAAAAGTATTATATACTGAAACAACTTAAATAAATACTGTTTGGAAATATTTACCATAGATAGAATAAAAGCTTCCTGCAATGTTCAGGAAGTCTATTAAAGGTAAATTCATATCACCTTATACAACATTTAATAAGTGTCAATACAGAAATCAATAGAAAGTATTGAGAAAGAAAATAATAATAATAACTGGTTTTAAAAATGAAAGTAAGATTGTATAATTTTTGTTTTCATAAAATATTTATTAACATATTTGTAAAAATTAAATACCTGAGCTTGACGTAAATAATCCTTATTCAAACTATGGCTATTTTAGTTTCCTGATAAAGACTGATGAGAAGTTATAAGATAGTCTTTATAGTACAAGCATAATAAACTAAAGTACAACAGAAATTATTCAGATAGGAAATGAGTTACAAATGCTTTTCCCCTATACTTAAAAATGGCATTTCTAAAAAAATTTTAAAGTGGTTTAAAGTCGAATGACTCTTCCAGAGCCCTCTATTTTTGGATATATCATAAAATTACAAAATGACAGTTATTTTTATATAAATTTCATGTATTTTTTTTTCCCCAAGCAATTGAGTTCAACTCTATTCCACTTTACCACTTTTATCAACTCAACTACATCCCTATCGGGACAATAGAGATCTCTCTCTCTTCTAAACCAATCATTATGTCTGGCTTCTCAAAACGTTTAACAAATTTTCTTCTTTGTTACTTAAGTACTTTAAATTCTTCTTAATTATTTTCTGCCTATTCAAGCACTCCCATATCACTCTTGCTTTAAGATAATGATTTCCTCTATTTCTAACAATTTTCTGAAGGGGTTGTATATCTCGTTTTATTCATTTTCTGATGGACATCTCTTCAATCATGTTCCTACCACAATCATACTACCAAAATTGCCATTAAAATTATTTTCAAATATCATTACATCTCTTGGTGTCCATGATACTCTTCTGGTTCTGTAGAATTTGTGAAAATTCCTCAGTCCTTTATCACGTTCACTTTTTCATTTACTTGTCCTTTTAAGAAGGACTTGGGGTGGCAGGGGGAGATGGAAGGAGGAAAATTGGGAACACTGGTTGCGGGAAATAGACAATGGTGAAGGGATGGGTGTTGAAACACTGTTTGACTAAAACCCGATCAGTAGCAATTCTGTAACTGGTTTTCTCATATCTCATCTCTTTAATTTAAAAAAAATTTAAAGACAGAAAGAAAAAAATTTAAATAAAAGCAGTTGATCAGACAGAAGGGGTCAAGTGTAAAAAAATTACATTTTATCTGATCTCCTTTGGAACTATTTACTTCATTCCTTCAGACTACATTATTTCTACACTCTTCTTCATTCTAAATAGATGTATAGGTGAATCTTTTTAAAATAAAATATGCTGATTTTAATTCAATCTCCAGTTTGAAATAGAAACCCCAATTAATCATTCCACTTTCATGTTTCAAAAGCACCTTCTCAGCTTAAATGCTCTTAGTCCCACAGAAAGCCTTGATTTTCTAGATTTCCATTCACATGTGTATTTAAACTAGAAACACAGCTGATATCCTTTCCAGCATACCTCCTGGATCTTTTTTTTTAATATCATAGCCCTCACTATATTCTGTTAGTCAAGCTTTGACAACTGTAGGCCCCACTGCCAAATCTCCCCTAAATTGTCCAAGCTTTCATTTTTTTGCTGTCCACATTGATGCTGAAGCATCTTCAATCCTTTAGCCACAGAATAGGCTTTTTTGGTAGCTTTAGGATACTCATTTACCCTTTAGATATAAAACCAAAATCGCTGACATACCTGTAATTTCCCAGAGTCTACATTCTGTACATCTTTTCCCTCCTTAAATAACTGTTCTCTGGGTTCTCTAACTTCCCTTCGGTCTGTGAACTTATTTTCTCATTCTTGCAAAGTCTCTACCTATGTTCTGCAACCGGAATAGTCACCTTTGCTTATTGGCCATAATTTTCACTTATTAAATGCTAAATATAACAAATTTTAATTATTTAATACTCCATACATTGTCTTTCTTGATTTTTGGTGATTTTTTTTAATAGAGTTGATCTTCTTTACCAGAGGGATTACCAGTGCATTTCTTCAAAGTTCATGATTTCAGATATCCAATTTTTGTTCACTGTTTGCTTTTTCTTTGTTTTGTTTTTGTTTCCTGTTTTCCCAGAATTAAATAATCTAGACCCAGAGAATATGGTGAAAGATACTAGGGACTAAACTTTCAGCAAGTGAGTAACTGCTTTGCCTGAATTCTAAGGTAAATGATCACACTCTCCTGTATTCTGAAAAAGTTAGAAGTAACTGCTATTTCTACTACGCACACAAAACGTCTGAAAACTATCCTGAGAAAGCAAGTATTTCCATTTGCACTCTATCACTTTCTTGTCATTTTCATGTATAGTTTAATCTTTCTCTAAGAGGGAAAACATATGTTTAGAACACACTGAAAGGAAACGTTTCAGGTATAAGTTAGAGCTCAAGAATAAAGCAAAGAAAACCAGGACAAACGAAAGGATATTTTCTTAGGGATTTAATATCATGTTCCTCCTCTCAACAAAGGAGGTGGGGGAGGGGCCCAACAAACTCACTCCACTGGGGAAAAGAAGATTAAGAAGTTTCTAAGTACTCACTTAAAGTTTTTTTTTCCTCTGTCTTCTGCTTTCCTCCTCTACTCACCTCCTTTCTTGCTTTACAGCCATACTCACTACATGTGTCTACATATGTGCATACTTATGTGCATCTCATGCATTTACAGATTTCCCTCACGACCCAAAAGTAAAAATTTCCCATATGAAACTTCTTGTAAAACAAACAGAAATCAAAACATGACCATCAATTTACACAAATAAATAAATACACAAACCAGAGTTTGCAAGTCCCCAAATCAAATTATCTTTCAAATCACTCAAATAACACGTCGAACCTAAATAGCACTAACATGAAGTAAAGGCAGTGATACTATGAGTAATGCAGCCGGTGGCAAAGTATTTCTTATGGGAGGAATATACAGTGCTTCTCTCTCTTGCTGCACAGTGTATGTATTGCTCTAAAAGGGGATGTGGCAGAAGTCCAGTAGTGCAAATTGTTAAGTTATTAAACTTGGATAAAAGAAGAAGTTTGCAAAAGAAGGGTAAATGTGATTTGTACATTTGCCTTCTGTCTTAAAATTGAAAAACCTCTTAGCATTTTAAGTTAAAACAAAACAAATACTGATAGAGGTCTTTTGTAAAAAATAACAGTCCAACATAACCAATGACAAGATGGGGATATAGTGGACACTGTCCTCCTGTTGATCATCGATTTGCTCAAGCGGGCCCAGTAACATCTCCATTGAAGACTTTGTTGTTATTGTGTTTGGCATATCGAATACATCATGGGTGGCTTGCCAGGCTCTGCCGTGCAGGCGAGATACTCTCGGTAGCTTGCCGGGCTCTCCGAGAGGGGCGGAGGAATCGAACTCGGGTCGGCCATGTTGGCTGCGTGCAAGGCAAATGTCCTACCCGCTGTGCTATCGCTCCAGCCCAATATCGGATAATAATGTAAATATTTACATATATAGATATTTTATACCACGTCTTTGTCAGCATCATTTCTACTAAGAAATATAGATAAAAGCATAAACCATTATACAATTATCAACAAGTACATAAGTCTTGGTTGAGCTAATATTCACATATTGATAATTAGATTGTCAGTATCCTGAATAATTTTTCTGTTTAAAGGTGATAGTCTAGAACTATAGATCTTATGAAACTTGTAGTGACAGGTTAATAAAATAAGGCAGAATATAAAATTACAGAATGGTATAGGTAATCTATTTATAATCAATATATTTTTGCATATTTTACCATGTTTTTGCCATATGACTATCTCAACTTAAGTAAAAATAAATAATATTTTAGTTCAGTAAGACAACTTTGCATATGCTTCATATCACAAAGCATTTCTTAGAACATTGACTCTTCAATATTTTACCATTAAAATCTCACTAAAAAATTGAATTCATTTACATAGTTAGCAGATATAAATCTAAAAAGATGCTTATTCTGGTGTGTTCATAAAATAATTATGATCTTTTCACTTCTCCTCAGCTACATGATACAAGGATATCATTATATATTTTGAAAAGTTCATTCATTTTCAGAAAGTGTTCTGGAAATTGTTTCTAAATCAACAGTAATCAATCCTATGATATACTGACTTGTGATCTCACTTTCTCAACATAGTACCCCTGACAACCTGTTAGGTTTTCATAATTAACTGGCAGTTTGTTGACAGCTCAGGAAGAACACTGAAAATCACATGACTAAAACAAACCAGCTGGAACAGATGGAGAAATAATGGTCCTATGACTTTTCCTGTGCAACCTCCTTATAAGGAATCATCAGAAAACCATCTCATTAACAGAGACAAAAAGAAAAAATGCCTTTGTGGCTAACATTATATTTAGCACAATTAGACAAAAACAGTACAAGGTATAGAAAGTGATTTCTCTCCTTCACATATTTTACTTGTTCATGTCCATTTTTTTCAACATATAGAACAAGATATCATGCCATTTTCACGGGTAGGATTTACTACAGCAATATTATTTGGAAGGCTCAAATTTGAGGGCATTTTGGGCTTTTTTGAAGATTTTCTAGAAGCTCATTTCTAAAACTTTGGGAAAATTAAGAATATTAGGCAAAATATACCACATTCCAGAGACTCCCATACAGAGCTCAGGAGACTCAGGGGTCACTCCTGGTGGCACTGGGAACTGTTGAATATCCTCATAACAGTTCAATACAAGGGCCTGGTAATGCTACTCTAAGGGTTGGTGTTCTGGGGACTACCAGGGTCATATTTGACAATGCCCAGAGATCTCTATGATTGTAGCTTACAGTTTTGGATAGGTGGTCACGTGGTACCAGAGATCAAACTGCATCTATACAGCAGACACAGATTCTTTACT